TTGTAAACAGTTGGCATTTCACAGGTTAAATGGTGAGAGACTGACACTGACATATAAGCAAAGCTGTAACATTATACTAATGAGAATGTGTATTAAATTAAGAAGCCAAATGATAACCAAAAACTGACCAGTTTGCTACGAATTAAATACTACTAGCATAAATAAATCATCCTGTATTCTCAAATTAAAGCAAGAATTCGTTTAAATGACAAGTGCAGACAGGGAAACAAGACCCGGATAGGGGAATGATTTCAGGAGAAATGTGAACAGAGTCTTAGAATTGTTGGTAAACAGTTATTGAGCCTATAAAAAGTGCATAACCGCGGGAAGACATCTGAAAAACGAAATCAGGTGACTGTAACGTATTGTTCTGACGCATTTCTGAAAACAAACAAACAATTTTCCTTCTTTTATGGACTAAAACGTTCATTAGTTGCACTGCATTCTTCAGAGGATCTAATGAGGAGGGGGGCTGCTTCATCTGGAGTCCTGTCCAGATCTGTTGTTGTGAACTCAGACTTCTCGTAAAGTCTTGTTTCTATTGTCTTGCAGGGGGCATTGAAAGTAATTGCGTGCAATCGAACTCAAGTCTGAACGAAATCATGAGGATTTTGGTTTCTGTTGGCTTCATTTTCGTTCACCTACACTTTCTTCCTCTAGGTTTGGTCAGTCGCTTCCTAGTCTAAACGAACAGCTTCAAATCCCGCTGTAAAGTTGACGATTGTGACGTCACCAGCGTAAATATCCCCGCGTAGCCCCTCCTATGGACGTGAGGGCTGGGACGGAGATGACGTAACAATGGACGGAGTTCTCCAGTTAATAATCACCCAGAATATTGTGCCTAATCACACGCGCTGTTTCAGTGACCTCCCTGACGGAGATTCACCATCACAGTGTGAGTCATGAACACAAAATGATGTCATTATGATGACCGTGATGGACCATCATAGCAGATGCGTGAACGTAAACATGCATGATTTCTTCACAACATGAATGAGCCTATTATAGTGCTTTGAGGAACTGGATAGAGTCTGCATACTCAAGAAAATACTACTATGAAATATTGAGTCGAGTAAAACTGAAGGTATTTTTCCAGGGAACAATCTGAGTAGCAGTACAAGAGTATCAAGAAACAAACAAATAAATAAATAGTAGAACGGCAGTGGAACATAATATATCCGGCATATATCAGTACAGGAAGGTGACATTAATCAGGCACACTTTCCTCTAAAATAAAAAACTGCCATGACCAATCAGAAAGCAGTAGAGATGCTGCCACTACTGTAACATAAACTAAACATAAAAAGGAATTAGTAAGTTAATATCACAAATATTTATGTCACTTTTGAAGCTTTTGAAAGTAGTTAGGAAAAAAAAAAACATAAGAGGTTAACTAACTAAATGTAACTAATGCAAATGTAACGTTAGACCTACACACTTAAAAAAGATGGCACTTAGAGGGTCCTTCAGGAAAGGTAATGGTTTTATTTAGAACCATGAGTTCTATATAAAACTATTTCATACTTAAATAATTCTTTGCATGATGAAATCGTACTTCAGATTGATGAACAATGTGTTGTACACAAAAAAGGGCTCTTCTACTGTTACAGTGTCAAGCTTGTAACATAGAAGAATCATTTTGGCTCATATTGGCTCTATATAGAACCACTGCATTTCTGTAGAACCCTTGAAGGATGAACTTAAGGGTGTAAACTTACCATCATTGTCATTTCTGTACCACAAGAATAGTAATGTTGTAAAATAAGCTCCAAATTTTGTGATCTGAAGAGCTGGAGTTGAGCATGAGTCAAAGACTTCAGTGAGATTTTTTTTACAGTCAACTGATGCTAGATGAGATAATAAAACAGAAATAATGCATGTCAAATTTGAGGTTTTGCTCTGTTTGAGCTAATAATACCCATGAAATAAAGACATAATAATAGGGGATATTTTGTTAAAGAGTCTATAGTCTGGTAGTAGATGGTCCCTCTCATTTCAGCGTCTGGACAAGAACAAAGTGATATCAACTTTAAGATGTGTCTCTTTGCCTCTTTAATTGGTGTTAGTTGGTGATCAAGGTTGTGCTTTGGCTTCTAATCTTGAAACAATTTTTCAGTTCTACTTATATTATTTATAGCAGGGTGATAGTGTAGGTAACAGGAATGATGTCAATTCAAACAGATAACTCTAAGAAAAAGCATGGACACGTTTACCATTCTGACTTGTCCCTCTTAGGTCTAGAAACAGCTTTGCAAGACATTGTTTATGGTGTTAACTATGAAATCCAGTTTATTAGTAGTCTTGATCTGTTATGTTTTTAATCCTGAGGCATGCAGTCATCGCCATCATCAGAATTCTGCACTGGAAGGCTAAAGTTTCGTTTTGGTTGTTGCCACATGAGCTGTTCCAAAGTATCACTATTTTGTTAAACAGGTGCTTCATTAATAGGCAGTTCTGGGAAACTCTTGTAGGATTGGACATCTTTGTGAGCAGCAGTGACCAAGCTTGTTAGACATGTTAGAGACCTTCCCCACAGTTAAGTTCTAATCATGATCACTCACACCTTAGCTAGTTAGTTTGAATCCATTTACTGGATTAAGTGTTTTAGACTGATTTGGAAGTGAGCTTGTGTTGGAAGTACAGTATGGATGAGTTTCTAGTAGTGACCATTGTTCCAGAGGGACAATGAATTTATGAATATTTTGGTAAGATCTTTATTTTCAGGGTTTCATTTTAAAACACATTATAGACCATTTTCAAGATTTTTTTTTGTTGTGATATGTTATTGGGAGTGAGCTTTACATCTACTAAATATATCAGCACTATTCAAAATTATTTTAAGTGGATATTTTACAGCTTTACAGTAGTGTGGTAGTTAGTGTAGAAATAAGGGCAATATTTATGGTGGGCTGAGGGTCAAAAAGACAAAATAATATGCAAATAAAGAAGACAGGTTTCACATTGTTTTTATATATGCATTTTATAATTAACAAACTAATTTTGTGTGTGTATGTGTGTGTATGTGTGTGTATATATATATATATATATATATATATATATATATATATACACACATACATACACACACAATTCTGTTACTAAAATAGTTAGAAATACAGTTTAAAAAAAAAAATACAGAATTGAATGTTATATTTAGTATAAAGTCTGTTCTCTCAGTGGATGAGGGAGCAGCCGTGTTCTAAACAGAAAGCAGGAATGTTTTTGTAAATCACCAAACTGATATTTGCTACTGGGTACAGATGTTCTACTGCCATCTAGTGACTTCCCATTTTTATTCAGTGGACTTGAACAGAAAACTGTTCATTTCACTTAGCAGTGATATTAAGTTACACTGAATTTTAATGAGCATGTTTTAACGTAGATTTTACTGTTTTTTTTTATTTTTATTTTTAAATTATGTCAGTATTCCTTTCTTTTTTTGGAGAATTCATCATAACAACTGTTAAGGGCTGTTTGGGCAGCTTAATGAAGAGCTTTGTCTCATTTTAATGGCACAGCCTGTTAACCATCTAGCAAGCAGAACAGTAAGAATGACTGCTTTTACAGTGATCGAAAGTCTCTCTGTATAATATTTTCTTAAATATTTCTGAAATAATTAGGTGTGCATACACTGTTAATGTATGTTTTTTACTGCAGAAGCCTGAAAACAAATTAATTTCTGCCCTAAAGCAGCTGGTTGCTGAATGCAGAATTAATATATATTCTATGTATTGCACAAACACACAACTGACGTTTTGAGCAATTTGGATCCTGTATGTTATAACGGCATTCTTAAAAGAGAAATAATGTTCTTAGTTTAAATGTTCTACTGAAGCTAGTGAAGACTGTATAGTAACATTTCAGTTGGATTTCTCAAGGTTGACACTAACTAATCAGGGTGAGTTTCCCTGAAGTATACTATTTGAGTTTGATTTAAATAATCATTATACTTGTATATTACTTGTCCTTTGAAAGTTTCAGAACACCCCAATAAGTCCAGTGTCTGCTGAATATTTTAGAAACACATCTGAGGATGAACTCATTCAATGATCATGTAAGCTTATTCCAGGACTAAATGGCACTGTGGGTCAAGATTCTCAAACATCAAACAAAATCAAACAAAAACCGTGAATGGATAATCTGACCACACAATATTGCATTAATGGATTACAAATAAATTAATGGATCACCAATATAGAAATACAGTTAACCCTTATACACTGAAATGAACACAAAAATACACTCTCTTAAAAAATTTCTCATACTGGCCTTTATTTTCTAGATGAATAATCCTGATTTGACTTAAACTTTAAAGGCTTTGTATGCATTTGTGTATTTATAACAGGTAACAAAATCAGAATATTTCATTTCAAAAATAAAAATGTTGACTCATTTAAAATGTCTAGCCAAACCTATTGAATATGTTTTAAGATCTCCAATGAAAGAAATCTTTAATTCACAGAATAAAAAGGCAAGTCAAACTTACGAAAAGTGCTTACATTTAATTTGCATTAACATTTATTTCTAGATACTTCCAAACGAATAACATATAGATGTGTAATTATGTGTTTAATAAAATTTTACACTAAACCAAATGGCTTTTGTAATTGGAGGACCAACCATTTTTTTAAATCTGAAATTAAAACATCTTTTAAAGCCTTCTTACCACTAAAGTTTTATATTTTTCTGCAATGTTGGCATTATATAAAATCTATCAATCAAAGAAAATATAAAAGTCATGGAATTGAAACATGTTTAATAAGAAAAATCCATAAACAAAACCTGCTTTTGAACCAATGGAAGAAAAAATCAGTGTAGTTAGAATTTATACTATATTTATATTTTGCAATGGATTCATACATTGGACTATTTACACAATTTGTTCTCAATTTGCAAACAAGGGAAAGCATTAGTACATCACACAAGATCAAACCCACAATTAGACAATTGTCTCCTGTTACAGGAAGTGTTTAGGAGACCCATGGCTTTCAAGTCTGTCCTTACAAAGAGAAAAAAAAACCCATTTAGGGAAAAAATAGTCGCCTAGTTATAACTGGATGCCATTTTTTTTAAGTAAACAACCGCATTAAAACTACAGCACATGCAAAACCACAGGGCTACCAGTACCATGGTCCATCTTAAGATCAGAAATGTTATTTGTTCATGTTCTTCTTGATGTATGCCATGACTCATAAGATCAAACCCTATAATCGCGCAGAAATTACAACAGATTGGCTGAGGATGCCTGTTTTTTCAAAAAGGGAGAGATTGTTCTTTCTGTTCTCAGGCACTTTTCTGGCTCCCTCACTCTGGGCTACAGTTGCTCACTAGCACCATCTGTTGGGGATTTTAAAAAGTTGTCTTTAAATGCCTGTATTTAGTGTGTCTCTATTTTGATTGTGTGAGAGAGGTGCTTCTTGTTGATGCAGTATATCTGGACTTGTGCACCATCTCATTTCAGCTACTGCAAGTTTGCCCTTGCTTATGTTGAATCTCTATTAGAGTTTAACAGTGCCTCCAAAAGAGAAAACCGTATAGATTTTTTTTTAGCGATTAACATGTACAGTACTGAGATGTTTTACTTCTGTAACCATAATTTCTTGCTTTGAATGGAAAAAAAGACTACTCTTACAAAAAAAAAAATTCTGTATGGTTCTTGACTTGGAAAACCTTCATATCAATATTAATGTTCTCCACTTACAGGAAAAAAGGTTCTTTACAGTCACATCCACTGACAAGTTCTTTAGGGAATATAAAGTGGTTCTCCTATAGCTTTGCTCTAAAAACCCCTATAGTTATAGATTGTACATAGTTTTTTCAGTGGTAAAGAGGGGATGAGTAGTTTACAGTTTGATCGTAAATATTAGTGGCATGTCCCGAGGGAGTCAATTTCAGTTCACTGGAGATCTGCAGGAGATCATGTTGTGCAGTGCAAAACAAGAGACCACTGTTACCTCCTTAATTAAAAAAGGAAAGAACAGTGCCAGACATTTCTCATTAAAGCACACATTTTAGGGCAATAATGATGGAACAGATGGACAAGTCTGTCTCATAAAAAGAGGTCAGTTCAAACTTTTTTTGTCTCCTCATATCCATCTCAAAAGAAAGGAGAGCCCTTGTGTTCTCATTCAACCAGCATATTTAATCAGGCTGAAACATCATGGACAATGTCCTTTGACTGTACAAACAAAAACACTCATAGGACAACTGTTCCCATAAGCGCGAAACCACTGATCAGTTTACTGGCTGAAGATATTGATCACACCAGACCCATTCAAAAGCATTTAATGCACATAACATTAAAATAAAACTTTTCTATGCACAATATTTCAGTATATACATTTATTTTATAGTTGCATCAGTTTTCTTTTTCTTAGATCATGTAAAGCAATTCATTATGAATTCATGTTGAAATTATGAGTCCGTTCATAATATTCAAAATATTTTTTTAATGATTCAATTAACGTGGAGAAATAAATGTTGAGATTACTATCAAGACATAAGTGAAACAGAAGAGACTAACAAACCGTTTCCAGGAGTGGCATAGGTGCACTAAGTGTATGACGACCTGGTCTGGGGTGAGGTGTCAGTAACTCTTAACCTACCTCTGCATTGTGTGGCTGACCACCAGAAGAACAAAGTGAGGAGCAGGGGGGCACAGAAACATGTGCTCTAGAAGGCAGAGTGTGTGCTGACCTGCTGAGGAGCTTGCATGTACATCAACACACATACACACAAACACTCATACGCCAATCTTCTAGTCCCATTCCCACTACTGACTGGACTTCTCTCTCTCAGAGAAGAAAACAAAAACAAAATGAAAGGCAGCCATTGGCTAGCAGAGAAGGAGAGGAAAAAAAAGGACCAATCAAAAGAAACAGGGGACAGACTAACCCCTGTGCTTCACAACCAGATCTACAACTTCTCTCAATGCTCTGTGCATGTTGCTTACTTAAAAGCGTCCAGAGCAACAAGTAAAGAGAAATGCTTTCTCGGACTCCTGCTGTGTGCCCCTAGTGAGCAACCTATGGCTGGGAGCTGCCCTGGCTGTCTGGGTCTGTTCCAGATGAGCTTGTGTCAGAGTCCGAGTCACCGTCATTGTCCTCTGGTGGACACTTCTCTCGCAAACGTTTCTGAGTGGCACCGAGACGGGCGAGAAGACCCTGGTAGTCAAAGCGGCCTCTCTTTTCCCCGAAGGGATCCTGTAGAGAACAGAAAACAATATGGGTAAATCCCAAGCTAAATATTTACCTTGTGCAAAACCATGTGTTAGAGCACCAGGGCACAAACTGCCTAGAAGGGGGTCAAGGTGAGCCTTGATTTCCATACAAATTGCACTCATTTGTACATACAGACTATATGGACAAAAGAATTGGGAACCTACACATTACAGCCACAGGAGCTTTTATGACATCACATTCTAAATCCATATGCAATAATATGGAGTTGGCCTCCCTTTTGCAGCTATAACCCCCTTCTGGGAAGCTTTCTACAAGATTTTGGAGTGTGTCTGTGGGGATTTTTTGTCCATTCATCCAGAAGAGCATTTGTGATGTTAGCCACTGATGTTGGACAAGAGGGCCTGGCTCACAATCTCTGTTCAAGTTCATCCCAAAGGTGTTTAATGGAGTTGAGGTCAGGACTCTGTGTGGCCAAGTCAAGTTCTTCCACACAAACTCACCCAACCACACCTTTATAGATCTTGCTTTGTGCACTGGGGCACAGTCATGCTGGAACAGAAAGGGCCTTCCAAAACTCTTCCCACAAAGCTGGAAGCATTCAATCGTCCAAATGTCTTGGTCTGCTAAGCCTTAAGATTTCCCTCCTCCACCAAACTTTACAGTTGGTGCATTGCAGTCAGGCAGGTATTGTTCTCCTGGCATTCGTCAAACCCAGACCCATCCATCAGACTGCCAGATAGAGAAGCGTGATTCATCACTTTACAGAATAGATTTCCACTGCTCCAGAGTCTAGTGGCGTTGTACTGTTAGTCCCCTTTTTACCTTGTTCTTCCATGGTCAGGACCACCACAGAGCAGGTATTATTTAGGATTTAGGTGGCGGATCATTTTCAGCACTGCAGTGACACTGACGTGCTTGTGGTGTGTTAGTGTGTGTTGTGCTGGTGGATCAGATGCAGCAGTGCTGCTGGAGCTTTTAAACACCTCACTGTCACTGCTGAACAGTCCACCAACCAAAAATATCCAGCCAACAGTGTCCTGTGACCACTGATGAAGGACATGAAGATGTTTAAAAACACTAGTGTCTGATCCACTCATACCAGCACAACACACAAACATGCCAGCACCATGTCAGTGTCACTGCAGTGCTGAGAATGATCCACCACCCAAATAATACCTGTTCTGTGTGGCCCTGTGGGGTTCCTGACTATTAAAGAACAAGGTAAAAGGGGGCTTACAAAGTCATTGTAGAACTACATAGTACAAAATAATGGTAAGTGGAGCTGATAAAATGGACAACGAGTGTAGATACAAGGAGGTGTACTTAAGTGGTGTGTGTGTACACACAATAGTCATTCACTTCTTACCAATTCGAGAAGGAACTGGGTTTTTCTGGCATGCACTTTTTTTCCCCCACATGTGCCAGAGTCAAATTTCTGTGCAATTAAAGAAAAAACTAAAGAGTAAATACAGGTACACATGTATCAGCTGTGTTATGCCAATTTAAACAGAAGGCTTTGCACTAAGTCCCACAATGACTGCTGAAAACAGAATAGTGTGTAATTAGAGAAATGCATTCAGTATGATTGTGTTTAGGTCTCTGTCAACAGATGCAGTGTCAAATAGCTTCTTTATTGTACTTCACCCCAAAGGGGTGGATTTAGCATTCCATTCATTTCTATTTTTGTGTTTTGTTGTGTGGCTGGTAACAAGAATGTATATTAAAATGTCCTTATTTCTGAACAGGCGTGGTTCTTGTAGTCACTTAAACACATAGAATACCTGCATGTTTTGTCCCTGTAGATGCAGCCGTTCTTTGCAAACTCCTTCATAGAAGTCATAGTACTCCAAGAAGGACTTTTCCATCACACTCCTGAAATACAGAAAAACGAGTCCTTTATTGGTCTTGTGAAAATAGCCATTTTATACAGAACGGTAACATCACTCCTGCTCAATTCTCTTTACCTTATTAATAACCATTATCCGATTTGTTCCAGAACACCAAAACCATTGGTTATACATGTATAGTAATGATTATACAATATCACACATCTTATTAGCATAGACAACATAATGGGAAATGATCTTTGGTAACACAATGCATGCTTATGTAACAGCATTATAAGCTTGTACTAATACGTTTGTGGCTTAATTTTAGTCCAGTGATACTACTTATACATGGAATTTGTGACCAGTAACATTGCCACTTATTTGTGTTTGCATATTCAACAGTGCAAAAGAAGCCAGCTACGAGTCTGACTCAAATACAACCAACCACTACTCAAGATAGGGATGAGCAGTATATATTTATTATCATGATAAATTACATCACATTGTCACAATATACTTTTCTGCACATATTGTGGATTTTGTCAGGACTTAAAAGAATACTAAACAACTTAGTGTTTTGCCACAATGAGCATAATTACATTGGTTTCACTGAATTTAGTGCAGCACAGTATGTGAAACAGTGAATAAAAATCACTGTATTCAAATTTTTTAATGTGGCACTGCTTTTGTCTGTTCCAAATTCTCAAACCTAAAACACCCTACCACACCTTATCAAAACTAAATATCATGATGCTTATTGTGTGTACTGAAAATGTCTTGAAGTTTCATGAAGTTATATTTTTGCCATATTTCCCACCCCTAACTGAAGGGTTTGAAAAGCAAAGTACAATCATAAGACTTCGAGGTAGAAAAGAACACACAAATGCAATCTAACACACACACACACACACACACACACACACACACATACATTATGTATATATATATATATATATATATATATATATATATATATATATATATATATATATACACACATACATCAAATACTCAAATAGTTAACTGTACAATCTATTGGCATATTTAAAACAACAACAACAACAATAACAACAAAACACACATCACACACACACCACCCAATCTTAATTGTCTTAGTGACATGCCGTGTTACTCACCACAAGGCCTCTGGGCATGGCACCTTCCCTTCTAGCATGTCACAGACAGCCACACGCATGGTCTCATGGCGAATGCACTCATTATAGTTTTTGCTGTCGCCTGGGTGCCTCTCCTAATGAACAGAGAAACAATAAGTCTGTCAAGTTTAACCTTCAAATCCAAACAAAGGGGCACTCAAATCCAACAGTCTCTGAACATTTAATAAAAAAGACTGTACTGGGAGAGATGGGGGGAAAAATAACATATCAAAGCTACCAAGTAATCTATTTACCTGGGTGTCAGATTATACCATTACATTCTCTTATGTTGTGCCTATCAGCCTGAAACGGTTTCATTCAGCCTGCCTCTGTGCATAATGAAATTCAATCTAATGGGTGGGATAAGAGTATGCCACGGTAAGCAATAATGAGGTCCAAATATACTCTGGCTGTGTTCGAAATAGCCTACTATATACTGCTTATGCACTGATTGTGCCCAAAAGTATGTAGTATGCAGTATGTGACCAACATAGATAACGTGGTTAAAAGAGTAACTTAATAAATAATAAAGCTGGTCTCAACCAATCAATCCCCTTGACGTTGGCTTTTCAAGTTTACTTGTAGAGTGACGCTGTGTTATTGAGTAAAACTTTGTATTACTAACTACAAGTGTAATAAAAAGGAATGACTAGCAAATGGAGGAAAATAGGTGTGTATGGAAACCATACAGGTTTACCTCACAGACAAATCCAAAGCTAATTTTTATTATTTAACATGTTTATTTGTGGATTTGGAGATGGGAAGAAAACAAAATCCTCTACTCTGGCAGGTCACTCTGTAAAAAAAAAAAAACAGTTTTAGTCGAGAGCACATCTCTCGACTAAAACCTATCCACACATGTTGTTAAAGACCTGACCTGACAAAGACCTGAAAAGCAGCTAGCAATGGTTGCAAAGCAGCAATTGGAGAGCTGAGAGAAACAAGTCTGGTTTTGGGATGGGTCTGACTGACTCATGTTGGCAGTCTAGTCACACACCTTTCCTATAGTATGGCACACGGCTTTTGTTGTATATCCAGTATTGTACCATGTACTACTATGAAGAGCAGGATGTATTGTACATTATATACTATTACATATACTAGTGCAGTATGCAGTATGTTGTACAGTAGTATACCATTTTGAAAACACCCACTCTATGTGCAAAACTATTTCCTTCTAACGAATGAATCCAGCTACTTAAAAGCGCAGCCATTGCTGACACAGTCAACTAGCTGCTCACACACAGCTTTGTAATCTCCATAGAAAAGCACTGTTAACAGAATGGAATGGCCTAAAGCAGGTATAAATGAGCCTAAGGTCACCATGCCCAGTGCCAAACATGGGCCAGAAAGGTATAAAGCCCTGCAGCATTGGGCTGTGGAGCACTGAAATGGCATTCTCTGGAGTGATGGAGCTCCACCCAGTACCTTTGGGATGAGCTGGAGTGGTGTTTGTGATCCAGATTTAATCATCCAATATCAGTTCCTGACCTCAGTAAATACTCTTGTGGCTGAATGCAATCACATCCTCACAGCAATGTTCTAACATCTAGTGCAAAGCTTTCCCAGAAGAGTAGAGGCTGACACTGCAGCAAAAGTAGGACAAATTCCCTATTAATACCTCTGATTTCATAAGAAACACAGAATGAGCAGCAGTCTACAAATTTTGGACATATAATGTACCAAATAACCCACTTTGGAAAAGTGTCAACATTTGTTTAACTTTTTCCATCTGAGAGCTGGTAGTGCAAACCTAAGAGAAGTAATCATGTACTCTGCACTACGTCTCAAACATGAATACCTGCTCAAAGCCTGGCTCATTGTGGTAAGGGTTCTCTGTCATCAGGGACTGGATGGAGATAAGGACTGAAGAGATGCTCTGAGCAGGGCTCCATGCTGGACCTGTCCATGTGCTAAAGACGACAAACATGACATGGACGAGTCACACTGAAATTACATTAAATACATTTTCTGGCATTTAAAAAGTTAGAAAACAAGCCCATCCAAATTGAGCATAAGCCTCTGGCCTAAAGAACAAACACATTTAAAAACACAACAAAAGATTTTTTGCATGTTTCCTCAACCACTGTAGTTCCTGACTCATGTTACATAACAACGAGTTGCAGATATACTTTTCATTAATCATAGGCCAAAATGTCACGCACATTTGTTTATTTTACTTGGATGCCTAACCTTGGTAAACCACAGTGTGAGGTGCGGTCCCATTCCAAGACATACTAAATAATTTCACAAATGTTTAATAACATACTCAAAGAATTAGGCCAAAATTAAGACATACTCCTTCACATACACCAAGTCCATGAACATACTAGTTTTACTAGTTTTAAGAGGTGAGATTTTGAACTAGATTTCTGACACATTCACTTTTCATACACTTGTCATTCTATTACACTAGAAATATTGTAATAGAATGACAATCTGAATTATTTTTGTTTAAGTAAAATTAAGAAATATAAAAAAGACAAATAACAAATTAGAAACTTTTCAACTGTAACAGATGGGTATTTAAATGGGTTTCATATATACAAAAAAAATAAATCACACAAAACCAGTTGTAATGGAACAGCCCCAACCAATTTGTCAACAGTGCTTTAATGCATCATGTTGCAGAAATTAAACCACCTGTGTGTAATTTTTTACAGCTAATGGAATACATGGAATTGTGCTGGACATTTTATAGTCACAATAGATGTCTCTCTTTAATATACTGTATCAAGCACTTTTGCCAATAAATATAATATTGTGTAAGCTGCCAAATTTAGCTAATTTAGTTAAATAAAGCTCAAATAAATTTACTATCTTCAATCAAAGCAGAAACTAAGCATCAAGCGTTGCATTTTTCAGATTTTCTTCACATTTGTTAACACAGAACACAAAATATATTCACTTGCTTGTAATTACCTTGACATAGCCAACAAATGTGCCTGACAGGCTGTTCCAAGTCATCATAAACAACATGGTCATAAAATTTTTGTTTATCGAAGACAGCCCAGATCTTTTAAATATGATTTAAACGACTTTCATTCACTAAATGCAACCAGCAAATGATTGCAGAAACATCATCAAAAACAAACTTCAACACACTTATGTTAAAGTAGCCAGACCAGTTTTTGGGCTGGAGAACAGACACTCACCCGAGAATGCTGAGGCAGACTTTGCCATTACGGTAGAAGTTGGGATTGAAGCGCACTGTGTTGTGCCCGGTGGTGATGAGTTTGACACGTGGGGGATGGATGGGGTAGTCAGGTGGACAACGAATCAAGAAGAGAAAGAATCCTCCCTCATACGGTGTGTCAAAGGGACCTGTGATGAGGGCATGGATCTGCGGAGGAAGACACAGGAATGTCAGCTTGGTAACTTTTTGAGATATTTCGCTACGTTTAAATTGTTGAAATTGTTAATGGTTCAGTATGGAAAAATGCAACTTTAGAAAACTTTTGGAAAACAAAAAGCAAAAAAACAAAAATGAATATTGACATCAGCAAGCAGAATAAAACATCAACTGGAATAAACATGTGAACATCAAGTGGTAGAGCAATTGTAGCAAACGGTGTATGTAAAAAAAAAAACACGTAAAAAGGAAGCAAATAAAATCAAAACCTCAAGTGAAATAAATCTAACCATCATTCGGTTTTAAGTTTTCCTTTTATCAAGAGAGTAATCTGATAGAACATGAGATATTCAGCTATTGTGGCTCTAGCATATTCAACAGTGATAGGAATCTCTCATTTTCTACAATTTGAAATGGCTGCATATAAGTAAAACTGAAAGGCTGTGAAACTGAAACTGAAGGATGCTATATAAATACAACACCATATTATTAATCATCATTATTATCATTATTATCATTATTATTATTATTATTATTATCTAAAACTATTAATTAACTTATTGCCTTTGTTACAATCAGACGAAAGTTTGGCACCAACCGTTGCTGAAAGTGTTGGCTGTGCCGCCAGCAACATGCATGCTCTGTATTCAGAACCGTTACACCACTGGTACACAGCAATTTAAAAAATCATTTATTTAAAACAGTAGTTGATTTTTGGGGTTTAATAAAGAATCTATCAATATAATGTGTGGTCAAACTGACTTCAGTGTATAGTATGAATTAATACTTTAATAAAACTAAAAAGCATCATTTTAATCACTGACATACTGATAGGAAATATTTATACCCTCCATCCCTATTCCACAAATGCTTGTTTCAGGAATGTATTTAATGTGGAGAACAAAGGCATGAACAAAGCTGTGTGTTTTCCAAGTTCAGATAAGCTAATATTAAGTAGATTACAGTAGAAATTCATGATGTCCAGATTAAAACCTCATTTTAGGCTCATTCTCAACCCGATACACTACCATTATTTAGCTCCCCTCAGAGGGCAAGCATTTATAAGATTACGATTTTCAGGGTAGCTTGAAAAAAACCTCACTGTGTTTCCAGATTATATTTTACTTAAGGGCCCCCCTCCACACACTTGCCAGGTGGGTAAAGCTCATATGTTAAGTTTTAACAATTCATTTGAGCCTGTAAATCCACCAGACTATAGAATATAATAACAAAATAAAGTTTTTCACATGTTTTGAAGGTAGCTGTCTTGCACTTTTTATAGACGGTATGGCTTATTCTGTGTGTTTATGAAGAAATCTGATTTTGGGCCAATATCAGCCTGTCAGCTGAAGCTCCTGAAAGATTATACCTACAGTATAAATTTACATAGTGTTGCACGGATATAGGGGACAGTGCTTAGGCTGACAGTCTTTAGGAAGAACAAATGCAAGCAAATGTTTTTCCACAAGCTTTAATTTCATCACAAAAATAGGTAATGGACAGGTAAGGCAGTGACAGCCTTCACTAGCCTAACATGTTTTCAGTTATCCCTACTGTATATTAATAGCAAATGTTAAATATTTATGAACAATTCTTATTGTACAGACAGTTCATCACACAATAAGTTAGAAAAGCAAAATTTGTCACAGCCTGTAGTACATTGTTAATATAATTAATTTAAAACATATTTTAACATACAACTGGAGGTTTTAACTACAGCAACTCCTACGCAAATCTTACCTTGGTCATATCATGAGGATCAGGAACTACAAACATTCCAGGGGGAGGCTCCTTATAGATCGACATAATGTCTCTGTGTGGGAAGAAAAACAGATAGAGATTAAACACAATAAGGGTGAAGAGAGAGGGTACAGGAGAAAAACAAGGAAGAGATCTCTCCTTACTCTCCTCTCTGCCAAGATATAAAAATAAAAGGCTTCAATAACTGCATCCCAACACCCCTTCAGAAGCACCCAGTCCAAGCTGAGCCTTATAGCAGGGAAGCTTTGTGCCTTTTGAAGTGGCCAACAATGTGTTAGCTGCTCTGGCAGATTATGTGATTGGCTTCAAATGTACCGGAGGAGATGTCTACAGGTGTTTGTCTCCCCTTCCCTACTGCTGATACTGTGGGGTAACAGGGAAAAGTCTAAATAAATAAATAAACTGCAGTCGAACAATTATTTTAAGCGACTCACTTACCATAATGAATGAATTATTACCAACAGGTAAGCACCATGAAAGGCAAAGTTGTGTAAATTGCATGAAATAGTATTTATTACATCTATTTACCCCCATTACTGTTGGCATGTTACCTGCTTTAAAAAAGGATCCTGGCTATGCAGCGGAGCCCCCGTTTTACACATCTTGGAAATACTCAGCACTCAGTTGTATCAATTTAAGATTTGATGACTTAACTTCTCAGCACTGCAATTTGTGTAAGTGTTGGGAATATTACAAAAGCTATTTATCCATAAAGCCTACAGTACTGCAATCAATAATGAAATCCTGTCAACAATCTCTGGAACATTTCAAAATGACTAAGCTCAATAGTTCAGTCAATATGTTAGTTCCCTTGACCCAAGGTTTTCATATACACACAAAACAGATTCACACTGTCATAATGTCATGCAATGTTTACACTATTTTCAAACAAAGGGTTTGCACAATTCACGCAGGAAACAGGATACTGGGTTGCATCACGCCTCGTCCGAGATCCACATCTCTCTATTAAGGAAAAGACACAAATATATAGTGTATAGTTCTGTGCCAAAACTGTACATCATCCAGCCAACTCCGTTTTAATTCAAAGGATCTGTGATCTTGCCAAGTCTGCTAATAAAGGTCTTCACAGTCAGTGAACGAATGCAGCCTCAAGCGCTCCAACACACTCCTAACCCCTGCTACTTCCACAACCTCGTCCTTAAAAACTATTTAATTTAATTATATCAAATCCAGAACAACAAGCACCTGAGTAGCTTTTATCCCCAGTTCTGTATCTTAAATTAAATTTGGTTAATTTAGTCGCTTGAGTAACTAAATATAGTATATATAATAAAGTAAAAATACGTTTACACTTTGTCTAACATTACATGTCGTTTAGAAATCTAAAAGCAATAACTGTGACAAACAGGCAGCAACAGAGAAAATCAGAAATGAGAACACTGTATACTCACCTGTTCCCCAACTTAACCAACGGCAATCAACTTTACAAGCTAAATTATACTTTCTACATATCTACTTGCCAGTATTTTTATTTCGTCTCTATATGTAATGTTGATAACAGTGACAGATGTGGGGGCAAAAAAGTTTTCTTTAGGTCCTATTTACAGTGCACTTCATTTACCTCTCTGCCATGAATGGATTTAAAAAAAAAAAAAATATGTTTTAGGCCAAAACCTTTTCTGAAAACTATTGTTAGCTTTTGTAGGAAGCTACAGCTTTCTACAAAATAAGTTTAGAGGCATTTAAATCAACCTGAAATCAAAACTGTTTTAACCTTGTTAGCTTATGTCCCTGGTCATATTAAGTATGATTCATCATAATGTAATTACCACAAAATTCTTCCTTTCTTGTAATCTTCCATCACATTGTAATGACTTTTTCCTGTCTCTAAAACTTTGATTTTGGCTACATCAAGATGCACCAACAAGTAGAGAAAAAATTATATTAACCAATATCATGCCCCCCCCCCACCCATGACCACCCTCACCTATCACTTAGCAAAACGTCCTTGATACTGTGCTTTATTTAGAAATAGAGACAAAGATAAATGCTAATTCATGCTGATTTTAAACACTTAAGACATCTGATTCCCATCACGCCCAGTAAATTTCTCTAGAATGGTGCATTTCACACCAAACCACTCTGAATTACCGGTGAAATCCCCTTTCAGGCTGCATGTCGCACTATTGTCCGTGTACTGCATGTTCTGTAAGCTGTAACTGTGAACTACATTTCACCCAACGTGTTACCTACAGTCCTAGTGTGTCGCTGCATTTGTATGTTTTCCACTATATAACCTACTCAAGTATTTAATTCATCCCTGGAGACCTTATCTGAGCCCACTCTGGCCAGATTGGACTGGAACCCTGCAGCAGTTCTTAGGGCTGTTTAATTCTGGCAGGTTTACTGTGTGTTATGGTCTTTGGCAGACAGGCAATAGCAAACAATGTCGAGACAAATTCTATGCAGGTGAAACGTACTAGTGAATAAAAATGGGCTGGATGTTGCCAGTTTAGATGTCCCACTTGTGAGAGTTGCGAAATCTTCCCAGAACTTGTGCGCCATAACCGCTTAATGCCTTGAAGAGCTAAACTAGCACTAGCTGTGATAAATGCGTGTTTATTTTGTCGCTGCTTAGTTTGATTCTAGACACAAAGAGTCAACACGGCTATCCGAGGTAGTCGAATATGGACGTCATACAACCTAAAGTATAGTTTGTTAAGATAAGTTAATTACTTGGGTAGCTAACTAGCCAAGATAAAACAAACTGTCAGCATATGGTTGGACAAACACGGCTAGCGAAACAACTTCCCAGTGAGCTAGCTGGCTGGCTAGCCGTTTGGCTAACGTAGCGAGAGAGCAAGAGTTGAGTTTACCTCAGCCGAGCTAACATTACAGCACTTAACTTACTAAGTTACAAAGAATCTCAAAACCCACCGGATTAGTCAGTTGACAGCAGGTTACCTTTTTATCCGGAGAATGCACTGCTGCGACGCCTTTTCGTTGTCCCAGTCGGTGCTCAGTGTGGGGTCCCAGGACGTGGCGTGAATCTGGGACAGGAGGCCCGCTCCGGCTAGACTCGCAGGAGCCCCGGTGACCCCCAAGCCGATGCTGGGCGGTAGCGAGGGAGGCACGGCCGCTGGCGCCGAGATGTTGGAGCTCACTGCATGGCTGAGCACGCCAACGCTCTCCATGACCGAAGTGATGTTGTGCGCAACTGCAGGAGACACCGCGGCCAGGCCAGTCTCTGCGGCCGCGGCAGGAGGCGGCGAGGCCGGGTTAGCTCCGCTGGTCGAGTGCCCCGGCAAAGAATGACCTAAACTCGCGGACAGCTGGGCTCCATTCCCCTGACTCGTTCCAACGGCGCCGTTGGATCCCTCTCCGACGCTGTCCGCCATCGTCGCTCACTTTGATAATGGCCCCAGTGATCTGACTGCAATTTTGAGTTGTCACTTCGACCAGTTTCTCCCCGCAGTTTCTGTTTCTCTCCGCTCAGGAACCTGATCTATTAAACGTTACAGTGCAGCGGGACGAAGAGAGATGACTCCATCGTCCCTAGTTTCTTTTCCACCCTGAAACATACCGTGTCGGCGATTTCTCCCCGAAAAAAAATACTTGACGCTAACTGACCAAGTAATTACCGTAAAAACATATACACCATATACAGCTGAAAAACCACACCTTTTCAACCACACACTCCAACGTCGTTCTTACCTCCGCTTCGATTGGTCTTTTCATTACCGTGTTATTTCTCTCAGCTACTTCCTTCTAGTGTAAGGAAGAAAAACAGGACGCCATCTAGCGATGCACTCCTAAAACGAAACTGAAAAGTGAAGCTAAAATGGCCAGTAAACTCCTTTGAGGCTTGGAAAGTGCGAGTCATGTTGGAACTATGTGCAGTCTGCCATGTAGAGGGTATTCCTGTTCACTGGGACACCAAAATTCATGAAAACAGACTGCGGACATTTCCTGTTCTATTTTAAAAGAATACAAAAGTCCTGCGCTGTAAAATGAACGCAGAGTATTTCACTTTAAGGACTGCATGGGCCTAAAAACAACGTTTCAGCCAAGTCACGTGGATTTCATTTTCTGTTCAATGTCTGCAGTATTTAAAATACTTGTTTATTCATTTAAAAAGTTAGGTCTGGACACATGTTAAAGAAATGGTTTACAAAAACAAACAAACAAATGAATAGCCATTACTAAAGAACTAAAGAGCCATTACTCCAAAGGAACTCAATTAGCTAGCAAAGACATGTTTGGTGTCTGATTTTGGCATCTTTGCACTGTAGCTACAAGGCTAATGGAGCTAAAAGAATGGAAGTCTATGGGTTTTGGATAACGTAGACTTCCTTTGTTTGTTAGCTCCTGTGCAAAAGTAAAGAAGCCTTCAGACACCAAACATATCATTGGCTGATCAGCGACATTGGGGTGAAGGGAACATTGTGTACAGTACTATTTTTGCACTTAATTATGTCTTATCTATATTTGTATGCCCTTAAAATGGTTCCTCGAGAGTTCTTTAATAAAGGCAATGGTTCAGTACAGATCACCATTTCAATGCTTAAATGTTTCTTTGGTTACATGGTCCTTGCCTATGATGGAAAACCTGTTGTGTATGGTTCTATATAGCACCAAAAAGGGTTATGCTATTGTACAAGTCAAGGAACCTTTTTTTGGTACAATATTGAACAATTATTGCTAAGTCTTATATTTGTTTCCTAAGCAGATTTGAAGGCTTATTACTTTTTCAATAGGCTTACCTAAGCTGAAGCCTAAGCCTGTGTATATGCTAACCATAAATGATACAAACAACAGCTTTTTTGGTAGACTTACTAAATAATCACGTAATGTTGATGCACATAAAGCTCTTAAGCTTATAATGACTCTGTGGTATTGTAGCAGCAGTAAAGAAGCCAAAAAATAAAAAAATAATAAAAAAATAAAAACATGGTCATCCAAAACCTTAATGAAAAACTATCATAAAACAATGTCTAAAGTATTGGGCAAGGTAATGTAAACATATGCAATTGCTTCCTGTGAGGTTGCTTTTGGAGGCATTGAACCCTTTGAATGTCTGCTTCCCTTCACCACTGCTGTGAACAATAATGACTTGGCAAATTATACCATCATGGTGCATGTCGTTCACACCAAGCTGAGTAACACTGATGGATTTTCACAAGGAACATTGTTTGATGTGCCACAATGTGGGGCTGCCTGACACCATGTGAAGGGTATCTTAGCATTATTATTCATTGGGATACTATTTTTAAAGAGCCCCTGCACTCAAAAGATGTTTGGACTGTGCAATAGCTGATAGCTAAAATACATAAATGACACTGGTATTTAAAATTACATATCAAATTTATATTTCACATGTCTCTAATATACAAAAACCATCTAACAGTGTGTACAGCCGTTCAGGTAGCAGGTAGCATTCTATTGTAGAAGCTTAACATGCTACAGCTTCACCACAGCACAGGTTCATTCTGGCTCACCAAAGCTTCACAGACAAGTTTTGAGAATAAAGACTAAGATCTGGCAGGTAATTTGTGGTGTATTTGTGTTTGGAGTTGTTAGCTTAAGCTACATTTGTTTTAATATCCCTGTTAGTACTAGAAGCGAACCTTAGCTTAGTGAGAAGGCCTAAACAATTTTACACCCAAACACACAAGTTCATTCCAGCTCATTGAAGCTTCACTGACACAAGTTTAGAGAATGATGTGCAGGTAAACCTGTTTAAGAGTCCTCTACTTTTAATTCAGAGGCTAATGTTAGCTTAGTGAGAAAGCAAAACCAGCAATTACAGCTCACTGATGCAGGTTTAGAGGATCAATATTCAAATCTAAATGAGTGAAATTAAGTGACTTTCTGATTATTAATGATCAAGTGGGAGCTTTATTTCTGCTCATCATATCATCTGTTCAAACAGAGAATGTGTGCCAGGTAATGGGGTGAAAGGGTGGGGTTTGGAAACAGGGCAGCAAAGGGGTGTTGTGCATATTCATAGATCTTAGCATTCTTAATGAATGTTGAGGTTTTGGGCTTTTAACTATTTTTGTGGGCACAATATAAAGATATAATTCATTATTCAACATTCAACATAATTTGTGTTTTAAATGTGTTTTAATTAGGGGGACTATAACTTCTGCTTTGTGACAAGAATAATTAAAAAGACAAGATACTCCTTTATTAATGCTACAATTGGGGAAATTCACATTACTGATAAACCCCCCAAAAGGTTAAAAAATGGATTAAGGACAAAAATGCAAACTGCTGATGTTTGATATGAACTTTTCCCCCCACATAATGTCACTAGTTGATTATATTACTCATGTTTAACTTTGTACAGTTATCATGGAGAAACTTGTTAAAACTCCAGCATACCAAGACATTAATGTAAACGCAGGCTTCTAAACTAATGATGTATACTTTGTCACACTGCTTTTTTGAATGAATTTTTTTTTTTTCCCCCCAAACTAAACCCCCTCTTCTTAAAACCCCAGTTACAACCTCCAAGACTTGATGTATGAAGAGAAGGTAAGAGGCAGATAAAGTTATCCCAACCATTTATTCAGACAGACTGTCCAAACTGCAGTGAGATCTTACATAAAACTTCACGGGGGAGGGAAAAGTTACACAGGAACATAAAAAGGTAGATCTAGTAGTTTGTTGGAATGGCAATGCCACGGCCTCCTGAGCTGCACCTCAGATTTTGCTCCCTGGATGGAGGGAGGTGACGGAAAAGGGAAGGGAAAAGGACAGGTGTCTAAATTACATGGCAAACAGGATCAGGAATGCCACCATCAGACAGAAGAGCCCCATGGCCTCAGATAGTGCAAAACCCAAAATGGCATAAGAGAAAAGCTGTTGCTTCAAGGAGGGATTCCTGTAGGGGGGATATAGTAAAAAGAAGCAGAGAAAATTGTCAATTTGCGGGTTAGGAAGAGCTGGTTACACACAATGTGGGGTCCAAAAGTCTGAGACCACTAGTGAGGATGCATTTATTTTAAATACAAAGGAATTCAATGTGATTATATGTGATTATACACACATGAAATAAGTATAACAATTTGAGTGGAAAGTAGAATATTTACACAAATTTCACACTTTTACTATTTGGTGTGTCCCCCTTTTGTGTTAACAGTATGCAAGTCACAAACAATGACTGCTAGTTAATTAACTTAAACAAGGCTCCCATGAATAAATCAAATCCATCTGACAATCATCTGAACAAGTGTTTCAAATGAAAGGGGTAATGAAAAATCCAACCTCTTTGTACAAAAATCTTAACATTGGTAATGTCATAAATTTGCTTGTATTTTTATAAAGAAGAACCAGTGCAGCATCTTGAACATCACTGTACTTTCCTTTGTTTTAATTTAATCACTGTTTATTTCCAGATCCAAATAAAAAAAAAAAAATATATATATAATCCCAGACCTTTGGACACCACTGTACATAATTTAACATATCACTACTTTTGCATCGTCACCAATTGTCTCCAACAATTAACTTGACAAAGAACATCAGCATCACTCATGGTATTTGTTTACTTGATAAGTTATACAAACAAGACATGTTAGTAATTTAAAAATGTTTATCTTGCAATTTTTGTTTCAGCAACATTAATTGTGACACACAATGCTGTACATGGAAGTTTAAACAAAAATTTGTACAGTGCAACTCAACAGGTCAGTGGGTGGTATGCATCTTTTTTTGTGGAAAAACACTTTCTATAAAGTTTACGCATGTAGAACTTGAGAACCAGCAAAACAACAAGTTTTTAGGCATCACTGTACTAGCCATCCTTAGCACTGATATACACATTCAACATTACCTACTCCAAATGCATTATAATGAGTAAAAGTACTTGGCAGAAGGAGAAAGCTTGTACAGCTAGTTGCACACGACATGATTCCAGACCTGCCAACCTTGGGTATTATTCAGCATAGCAAAACGGTGTAATGCTTCAAAAAACCATGCAGGCATTTCCCCACTTGCCATATCAAGTTTGTTTATTCAACAGGGTTTGCCCCCCTCTCTCTCTGTGTTTGTGTTCTCCTCATCTGACATGTAAGGCGCGCGCGCGCACACACACACACACACACACACACACACACACACACCTACCTCCCGGTAACTTTCTAGGTAAATTTCTGCAGCTTTTGCACTCGCTTTTCAACCTGCTATAATCTGCAACACATCTGAAAAGCCTGGTAAATAAGCAAGCTTGCAAATTACATAACATTAGGCTAATCTCATTAACATGAAATATTTTTCCAAGGTTGGCAGGTCTGCGTTAAGTTAACCCAATTCATGATTTCAACTTTCTACATCTATCCCAGCCCGTTTACCTTTGCAAAGGAGTCACTGTCTATAAACATTGTGTTGCTATCGATTTACAATCTCTAAATGACTGACGTTACACATTTGTCATCCTGGAGAATGAACCCCGTGCTATGACTGATCAAACTCTTATTTTTCAGCACTGCGGCCTCTTGCTGTTAGATTTGTGTACTGCATGTGCACAACTGAACTCACAGGCATCACCAGCTTTTAGCATAGTTTAGAGTGACATATCGTATCAACATACTTTGATGTCAAAATGCATACTTGCTATGCAAAATGCGTAAATGCTGACAGGTCTGTGATTAAGGGCAAACAGTATGTAAATTAACCAAGATGCATTCTTACATTGGGATTTATTACTGATACAAGATTTCTTCCCATCAACTGGCTTTGTCAAATGTCCAATCCTGAAGAACATACCTGGCATAACCAATGATGAGACTGCCGAACACTGTTCCAATTCCAGCTCCTGATCCAGCCACACCGACTGTGGCAGCACCAGCACCAATGAACTTGGCTGCAGTGTCGATGTCTCTGGACACAGCGCTGGTCTGGAAGCTTCGGCTCACATTCAGGAGGGATGCTTCACTCACAGGCAACAGGGCTGCCTAAGTGATGAAAGGTGGTTCAAAAATTACATCAGCTGTTTTAAATGAATTTCATGACAAATTCTGAAATACCAAACTTATGAGAAAGAGACTGAGGTTCAAAAGTTGACATTAAGCCCCCAACCCCACCTATAATTCAAGTGAAAAATGGTCATCTAGACCTAATCACAATACGTACAGACTTTCTACAGATTCTTTTATGCATGTCCTGGTTACCCAAAATTAAGGGATGCCATTTATTTTTATACATTTTTATATGACACTGATCCAATATTTTCTTTTAAATCAACTAAGCTTTAAAATGAGCATCTACAAGTATGCCTTCATGCTCAAACACTCTAGTACCCCACAAAATGAAGTATTCAGCTGACATCATATTACAGAGCGCAAGTGTGTAGCCATTTCTGATATTGGAGGAATATCAATAACCATCAATCCTGATATGCCATCCAATTGCGCTGAAACATACCCAATATGACAAGGAACATAAACCAACAAGGTAAAAAGCCCATTTCCATTTTAGGTTAACCAAATTATGCAAGTATGTTAAGCCCTGGACATGACCCCTGATCTCACTTAACCTTGATCAAATTCTCTACAGAGGTGCACAACTCTGGTACTGGAAGGCCAGTGTCCAGTACAATTTGGAGGTTTCCTTACTCAACACATTGACTAAACCTGGCAATTAACAGGTAAATATAATCAGGTGTGTCTGAACCCAAACTGTGCTGGACACTAGCCATCCAGGCCCAGAGTTGTGCACCCCACCCCAGGACTACAAAAACTTACCTGCTCAGTTCTGGCTTCAGGTCTGTTGAAGACGCACACAGATACAGGCCGGGCCAAGACCCTGGAGCCTCCACGCAGCTGAGAGTGAAAACAGACAAGTACCAAAAAAAGCTGTGTTAAAGAAAACAGCCACCCAATTCTCAAACATACCACACATGTACGTTATAGTGGTGACTAAGATCATTATTGGGCATTGAGAGAGATTAGCTTAATTTCTGGACATCTCATATCCTCACCCCCCTCTATCCCAAGACAAGTCTCAAAGCAAATTCAGTTTAACTTAAAATCTGACCTTTTCCCTTTTAAGGCTTAAGTAACATCATATAATCTGTTTAAATTAGTAACTGACTACCAGAAACAATACATACCACAGAGGGAGAGGTGACAAACTTAGCACAGGCATACATGTCTGAAGCCTGCAGGTGGAAAAAAAGGTTAAAAAGGTCAAAGAATGTCAACCATACATTCTTAAACTTGATGTCTCAAACTGGTCTATAACCGAGTACAATGGAAGACAACCACAGTGTGTGTGTGTGCATCACTTGATTGGAATATGGTATAACTGAGAAGCACTGAAATCAGTAACACTAGTCATGTCAAAATGTGTGGCAAAAGGGAGCTCAGTACAAGACAAGGTTACAGTGTTGTAAGCAAACCCTACACTTATTTGCACCAGTTAATTCAGTAACACACAGACAGACATTGACTGTTGATAGATACAGGAGTTCTTAACACTGTGGTTAAGATAAACTGAGTCTCAGCATTAAGACTCTGCATAAGTCTTGCCAATGCAAAAGTGTGGCCATGGGGCCATTCACCTTTCTTGACCTTTGTAATATTTCTGGAAATCAGGAAGTTGGAGTAGTTTTGAATGATAAGGCTGTGATTATATATCCTGTAATTATGCTAAACAAAGATTTAGCCATCAGGCATGGTGTTTGTTTGATCCGAAAGCTGTTCCCCAAATCTGTGATCATGCACACCTGACAAATTGCATGCATGTGTTCCTTTAAAGGAGCCATATCCTCCAATTCTTTTGTATTTAACATTTGTGACGTGCACCAAAATCAGTAGTTACTCATTTTACATGAGCACTTTCCAACTTCTCTTTAACTCTTAGAATTTAAACATGCTGTTTTGGTTGCTTCTGTTCTGATTGGCCACCCTCCATTGAGGCCATTCCAAAAAGCAGTCCGGTCTGAAACACTCCTTGTAACTCCAGCGTGAATGGGTGGAGCTAAACTAGTGTAGACATATGTAAAAGGCAATGGTTTTCATGAAATCTCAAAAACAGTAAATTCAAAATTGGCCACTTTTGCAGCTTAGCTACTGTAAATATGGACTGTATGTACTGTGGAGTGAACAATATATATTTTACAAATTAACCTTGTTTACACATCAAACCCTTATGGAAAAAATGATAAGAAGAAACGGTTGTTGAATTTACATGATTTGAATGTGTACACTGAATTCACAAAAATGAAATGCTGCAGTAACTTAAGTTACTTACGCCTATGGTAATTATGTTGATGCAACATTTCATTCATGTTGAGCCAATGTGCACATTTTAATCATGTAAATTAAGTAACCTTTTATCAACCCCCCCCTCTCTCTCTCCAATGCAGGTGGATAAAACATGATGGCAGCAGTCTGGCATGCCCAAAAGGCTTAAATGCCAAATACAGGGGACAGTTAACAGTATTATGTCCAATGAAATGGGCCTACAGGTTGTGGCCAAACCGATTAGAGGTGAAGTGAAGCTTTCAGCATGTGTTTAACGGCTGGCAAAAGAGAACTCACGACCTATAAATTAGAATAAAATGATTAGAGGAGTACTGCCACATCAGTCAGTACTAAGTATTCTCGATGCCTGGTGAGCCTGATCCAATTAAGCGGTCATTGAAGCCCGTGAACTCGACGCGTCCTCGGAGAATAGAAGACAAGAGTCAACCGTTCAAAATTATTATTGCGAAAATGGCTAGAAAACATAAAAAGCCGCAACACTTAACTTAAGCAGGTCTAATGCTAATGTCAGCGAACGACCTCAGTGTTCAATGATAGTTATTTGCACAACCTTTCGAGCAGCTGACGTGCAACCAATGACCTGCTGCAGTTCGAAGAATGAGCTGCAACGAATGAATAAGATCAAAATCAAAATCACAGTAACATCGCATATTAAAACGGAGGCAGCACAGCTAACCTAGTTATCTACAGCGGTACCATAGTTAACAGATAGGCTGCACTTGCAAGATAACACAGCTATGAAGGCACCCAAAGACCAAAGACTCCGCTGGCTCCACGAGTGAAGGTCACCAATAGCTACTTATTATTTTTCATTAAGAATCCAAAACGACATCTAAACGCTTTCATAAAATAACCAATGAAGGCACAAAGCATGATGTAGTAGCTAGCGTGTCCTTGACAATCACAGCACTTTTGCCTTGTACCTCCTGAAGCGGCCAGCCTGTCTAACTAGGCCTTGGAAGCTCAACGATAAGTCAGACATTTTGCAAGTGTCAAATGAGAATGTAACTAGCTAACCGGTCACTACTAAACCGCTTCCGCACATGAGCTGAGCAGTAATGATTTTATGTGCAAACATGTTTATCTACCCAGGCGACACGCAAGCTGTGAAACTTGTCCGCTGAGTTGGTCATTTACTTTAGCAAATGACCGGCTAGTCTGCTAGCCTCAGGGAATGGCCGCCTAACGCAGTCCTTCACCTCCCCGCACTGCCAGCTGCAGACAGAAAGCTGCACCCACTCGGGGCTGTTAAAACGTCAGTGGCAAAACGTACACGAGGACTTTACTGTGGAACATGCAACCGGTAGACACACGTTTCACTCACCTATTTGATACAGAAGGGCCCGGGGAACTGGGGACAGGTTTGGCGGTACAGTCAATGAACACCGTGTAAAACTGTCACCTTGTCATTTATAAGCTTATGAACTACGTCCTCAGCAGCCATTGGGTGGAAGCACCCGGTCTCCTTCTGTGATTGGCTGTGCGCGATGTCAAACCCCGAGCTGTAGCCTATGAGATGTCTGATAAGAGCCTACACGCATGCTGATTGGTTTAAAACATTCAGTGAGGCGGGATTTTTCGAAACGCCCAGTCTAATTGGATGATACGGCTGAGAAAGTTTTAGAAGCGCATCCCGTGTCCCCTGCCTCCATTGGATGTGCTGGCGGAAGTTCTGCCCTTTGGAAAACACGGAGGGATTGCATGTAATACACGGTTCGTTGCTGTAGATGGCGACATTCTACCAAGGGCGGTTTGGTCGTTGTACACCAGAGAGAAAATGACGGAAATTAACTCGAACCTGTCCAATATAATACATCTTGGTCTGCTTCTGCTTTCTAAACCTAAACCATTGTGGAGCCCCTTCATGATCTTGCAATAGTTAGAGGTATTTACTTTAAAGCTATCTGGAGGGAAAAAACAAGGCCGTATAATATCTTATAAAATGACAGTGGATACCCTGTACACAAAGAGAGGAACTGAGGTAAATACATATGGATCTACAAATCTCTAATACATAGTAATCTGCTTCTACTGTCTTAAACATGTGAGTACATGACTTTGAGCTGTTAACATTTCAAAGGTAGCTATATGGTCTGAGAAAAGCCTATGTTCTCTTAGAAAATCACAGCACTTGAATGAGTAGTTAAGAGTAGCAGGGGGCCATAATGGAATAGTCCACAACACATTTTTCCCATTTTCAGAGATTTGTAAATGCACAAATGTATACATACATTGGAAATTACAATAATATGTTTTCTTATAAATTTCCTATTAAAGTAACTGATTTTACTCAAATAATCAAAGTTTTCAGAAAACGAAATGTAACTAAATAGCCGATTTCTAGCAAATATTGATTAGAAATAATGACTTTTGATCCTGAACTTAAATACTTATGTACTTTACTGAGGCATAAACAGTTTACTTAAGGATTGATAAAGATCTTTTCCAGCCATACTAGCTTCGGTTACCTGTATTCTAGTTGTAGGAAATGTTTTACACTCACTCTACAGGACTGCAACACAGGGACAAAGGTTAAGTACGCCTAGCAAACCCACACAAAGTATTTTGCAGATAAAAATTCTCTCAAAAGTAAATAATTCAAGAGTACATTTTTTCCGCCAGATTCATGAATATTATATTGTCTCACAACCACAAAATAGTTGAAAATATTGATCATCTTTTTGACATAAGTCAAATTTTCAACATAGTCTGGGGCAGAATTTCCTTACATCCTCTTTCATTTACATCATCCCTGTATCATACAGAGCCAGACTGTCTTTCAGTATTGTGTGTGAGTGTGCCCCCATATCTGTCTTGTACGACACACCCATAACACACTTTTCATATTATATGTGCATGCCTTTGTCTATTATGAACTCTCCCTCTCTTTATAAGTGTATGTTGCTGTCGGGATTTCCCTGCCACTCTCTGACTACGTCATACTGTATATCATTTTAACTGCCTGTCCAAACACAGGCCTTTCTAAGCCTAAATAAATCATCTGAAAATATTTCCTCTTTGAGCTCCTGTTCCAGTTTAAAAGGGCAAAAAGGAAAAAAGACAGTTTTTCTGTGTGTAATGTCTCCTGGGTAAAGGTGACACACACGCATCTCCAAAATAGTAACTTTACAGGAGAAGGCAAATACATTGCTTACTTTTAATGTATTTTTGAAAAGGTTTTTTTTTGGAGCATTTCTATTTGTGCATTCATCATTAAATTTTGACACAGTGTAAAGGGCAGCTGCTCTGCTCAAATAATATAGGAAAATAAAAGTAGAAAACCATATATATGTATATGCTCGCAGCTACTGGTAAACTTCAATGAAGCTCTGTGGGTTGCTTCATAAATGTCCCATATGGAAGAAACATAAATAGATATATTTGCTCATTTTAATTGATGTTTGAAAATATGTTTCAGTATATTGAAATATATGCACACATGTAGATGAAAACATTGTGTAGTAGTGTACATTTTTTATATTTACATATATGTCAAACACATATGGAAATATATTACATGCTTGGCATATATTTTGAATAATATATCAGTGAAAACATAGTAACCAGACTGCACAGAGAGTACTGTAAAGCTCAGAGGTGGAAACATCAAAGCCTGCGGCTGTTTTTCTTACAGTGGTGTCGATGAGCTTGTGTTTATTGATGGTATCATGAACTTAGACGCGTATAAAGGTATATTGGATGCAAACCTGCATAAGTCTGCAGAGAAACGATTCAAACAACAGAAGTGTAAGTGGATCAGTAGGATATTGATCTGAAATACATTAGCCACCTTTTGAAAGGACTGGTCTGTTTAAAATAAATGCCACATTTTGTTTCCTATCAGAATGAATTTAATACAAGTATGGCACAAAGTCCAAATACCAATTGGGGCCCACTGTGTAATAAGCACATTAAATTTAATATTTTATTGAACTACATGCGTCAAATTTATTTTAAGAACATTTCAGTAGCCTATCTTGGACAGTAAAGTTTTCTGTATGATCAATAACATTGTTGCCAGGATGCCTACGTTCTAGAGTATAGTTGTATGCAAAAGTTTGGGCACCCCTATATTTTTTGCTGATATTCTGAATAAGATGAAAATAAGTTAACGCATCCTCTAGAGAGAAAACACTTCTGTATTTTAGTGCACAATTACTGTTTTTTTGCTGAATTTAACATATCAGAAAACAAGAAATAAAACATAAAAAAGTGCCCTGTGCAAAAGTTATGGCACATTTATTTTTTTCTCAATGTGTTAAACTTATGCTCTAAATTCAGCAGAAAAATGCCATGTTTATGTTTCTTCACTGTAGAGGATGTGTTGACTTATTTACACTTTGAAATAAACAAAACATTCTCATACCACTGTATTTGGATGTTTACGTCAGTAGTTTGGCCAAAAAATCTAACTTGCGCAATTTTCCCCTTAATTGGCAAAAAAATTGTTTGCTGCCAAACTATGAAGCTAATATAGCTAGCATATTGTCACTGTCCAAAGAAAAACGTCCAAAAATGGCAACTTTGCAGGAGATGGCAAAAAAACGTTCTTAACTTTTGTAGTTTAATATAAAGAGCTATGTACACCTAAATCATCATATGCTTTCCTCAAACCACATTGAGTTGTTAAGTAATATAAAACAGATTTATGTGGTTGGAGCATTGCTATTGGTCCATTCATCATGAGATTTTTACACAACTTAAAGGCAGCTGGTGAGGCAGAAAAATGGAAATACTTGTGGTTTTTTTGGCCAGTGACAATATAATGGACGATTATAGACAACAGTTAGCATTGCACGAAGTGCATGCCTAAATCATCACATACTAACCTAAAACTGCATAAAATTGTCCTTACTTATGTGGTGTCTTACACTGTATGACATCTATAAAAATGGACAAATGCATTGTACAGCTAAAAAACAGTTGTAGCCATCTTCAATTCTGAATGTTGTCCATACTTTTCTCCATTTTTATAGATAACAGTATATATCATAGTGTGGGAAACAATATAAGTAATTGTTAGGTTAACAGTTCAATGCAGTTTGTGACAAGCAATCAACTGATCGACTACTTTTGGTGGAAGGGAAAACCATTTCATTTCGAAACTAAAAATGAATTGATCACTATAATCACTAATTATTTGATACATCATATCCATCTGCTCATGCTTTCAAAAGCACTCTCTGATATGTAAAGAGGGCTTTTCACAGCAAAAATACCATCAGGACATAATGAGCAAAGCATAATGTAGACTACCTGTCATGGACTTTGATACAAAATGAGTTAGAACACATCACTCAAGTAAATGTCTTTTTACTCACACAAGCTGGACAAATAAACATGATTTATCCTTACTGGGCCAGGTTATGCTTTGAAGTCATTAGCTACAGTTAACCATTCATCAAAGGTGTCCAGCCAGCGGCAAACTGCTTTAGGTCCCATGTGGACCAAAGCAGAGGAGAAAAGGAACTGCAGAGAACCTTCTGCTGCGATGGAGAACTGCTTCCCTATGTGAGCAAATGTGAAATGATTTCCTGTGGGCTCTGAGGCTATGTTTATTTAATGATGATACAGTTATTAAAAAAGGAGCACGTTAAATTTGGACGGTCACTAAAGTCTAATGTAGGAAAAGAAATGCTGCTCTATATCTTCATCCTTTAAAATAATCTACAGTGAAATATAGTCCAATAGGCATAGAATGTCCATAGCAAGCAATATATTACATCCATAACAGAAAAAGTGTCATTGTGGTGCAAAAAGCAGCCACTGTGGCAAACACACTGTGATTAATGTATAAATACAATTAGAAAAAAAATGACCAGTGAAGAAAACCTCACCGTAAATAGGTCTGCATTTTGGGTCTAAAATTTCCATTTTTTAGTATAATGCTGAATTGAAGCTCTTTAGAGTTACGCAGTGTGCAACTGCTCTCTCTCGGCAGGAGGTAGATTTGATAAGTTTTACAGTTGACAGGGGCAATAAATTACAAAGCTTTAAAGAGCTGAAACAGGCAAGATTCTCTCTCAGCTGGAATAAGGGCCAGTAGGCTAATGCACCAAATTTTACTAGTCCATACATAACCAGAAGTTCTTCAACATTAACAAGCCTGTCAGTGGTTGATAAATATCATAACTTTAGGAATTTTAAGAATCACCTATCATGTTCTTTCAACACAATAGCTGTTTCAGTAACTGCACAGACCAAGAATTTAGGAAAACCAATCTCATTCTTAAAAATTCCTTCCTAAATGTTTCTTGCCTTGGATATTCAGTCCTGTGCAAAAGTCAGAGACCACTGTTTATTTATTTAATTTCCCATCAAAATGGCCATTAAGTACTTCATTAAGTTCATTTTTCAGTTTTGGAAAAACAGCTGAAAACATATTTAACAGAAAATTACACAGAAGCCCCAACAACGAAATATGATTTATAATTTGA